AAATAGTAAAAAGAACAGGCAACCCTCCCCCACAAAGTCCCCGCCAGCCCCGCGCTTCGATGATGTGAGGGAATTCCCACACCTACAGAGGCCAACAGTGATGGCCTCTGCAACGGAAGCAAATGCGCAGGCCACAGTACCAGCACAAGCAGGAGTTCAAGCTCTGTCAGCTCAAGCACCAGCACCAGCTGCAGCACTAGCCCTAGCCCCTTATGCTACATCAGTCTCTGCACCACCTTCAACACCAGCTGCAGCCCCAACTCTAGCATCATTTGCTGCACCAGCCTCAGCACCAGCTTCAGCACCAGCTTCAGCATCAGTTGCAGCTCAGCACCCTCTGCAGCAGGACAAACAAGAGTCCAACGGGGAAATCAAAGACCCTACTGCAAATGCTACTTCGACAGATGGAGCAGATGATGTTCATGATGCAGCAACAAATGGCTCAACAATCTCAACTTCAGGAAAGGATGTTCTCGTTCCTCCTAAATCAACAAACAGCATCACCCTGTAGTGGGCCTGGAAATGGCCAAGTAATCAATGTCTCCAGTTAATCACTTGAAATGTATTACCTGGAACATAAACAGTTTGCAGAAACGCAAGGCAACTCTCTCCCAGTATCTTCACTCCGAAAATGTTGATGTGTGTTGCCTTCAGGAAGTCAGAACTAGTGCTCGTAATGCCAAAAATTGCGGGATACACATATTATGACAGACCAAATATTGCTAACCCTCTACGAGAGGGCTTGGCATTTACATAAAGAACTCAATTCCACCGGAAGTGATTGATGACAATAGTGACAACTCCTGTGTTGAATATCTTAGTATTAAAATATTTTTAGACGATAAATCTATCACCATCATTAAAGTATATAATCCACATGATAGTGAGGTGGTACCTAAACCTCCTGACTGCATGATACATACTGATACTGTCTTATTGTGTGGGGATTTTAATGCTCGCCATCCTCTCCTAGGCTCCGAGGGAAGTACCATTGGCAAAAACGGTAAGGCTTATTATGACTATCTCCAAAATACTAGTGATCCCATACACTTATTATGCCCCTCGAAAAAACTATACAATCAGCACATGCTACCAAGTACTGCAGAAGTCATCCCATTCTTAGTTAGTAATCACTGGGCATTAAGTATAACCCTCCCTTTTTGCAAAGAGCCCCACCCCAGCCACGCCTTCGATACCACCTTGCTACTAAATTTCACAATGAATTATTGAAAGAATTGCCTGCTGGTATGAAGACTTTACTCCTACCAGCCTGGATCACTTTAATGAACCTTCTGTCAGCAATTTGGCAATATCATTACTCAAATACAGCCCAAAAGCTCTGCCAATCACAGATCTTTATCCTCCAGAGGTAGACATGCACAACAACTAAACAAAGACCCTGAGATAAACTTCTTAGGAGACTCATACGATCTACAGTAAGCCAGCTACGACACTTGAGGAAAACCCGTACTTAGCTAAAGATCTTGTTGTTTTTCAGTAAAGAGATCAATGAGATAATAACACGAAAGCGGGAAGAAAAAAATTATGCCTGGGCAGAATCAATTGACTCCATGACAACCATGAGTAATGTATGGAAGGAAATTAGCAAGATCAAAGGCAATCCATGCAGTATAACACCCCACCCACATCCAGAAAGGGTAGCCTCATCTCTCCTCAATAAATGGTGTGAGGATTCTTCTCTTGATAGCCTTACATTATCCATACGTAGGTGTTCCCTTAAATTAAGCCATAAAACGAAAATTGACTACCAGTGCCACCTCTTAGATGAGGCTGATGCACCATTTACAAGGGAGGAACTCCTCAGCCATTAAGACTAGCAAATCCACCGCACCTGGGGAGATGGAAAAAAAAAAAAAACAAACAACCCCCCCCCCCCCCCCCCCCCCCCCCCCCCCCCCCCCCCCCCCCCCCAACAACACAAAAACCACTCAAAAAACAAAAACACAAAAAACAAACACTTATACATCATCGATTCTTGCCAAAAAGTACAGGTAAGGAAGGAGATCTCTTCTTGATTCTTCAACTTAACCTACATGGCCGGCATCATGCCTACATCTTGGAACGGGCAACCATCATCCAAAAACCAGGACGGCCCGATTAATTATAGACACTTTCTCTGACGTCCTGCTGTCAAAAACTGTGAAAGAATTTCCTCACTCGTTTACTATCAGATCAAAGACATGATCCATCCATCTGTCTTTGGCTTTCAAAAAAGGGAGAGGAACCCAAAGTGTCTGCTGTCCCTTACTGGCGTCATGCATAGTCTTTTACTTCATAGACTTTAAGGGTGCAATCGAGCCCTACTGCCAATCCTCCATGAACTAAACTCTTTTGGGAGTTCAAGGGCAAGCTTTGCTATGGATAAAGGATTATCTATCTTTGAGAAGAAGCAATAAGGTGTGGTATCAAAGGCATCTATAGTGTACATGGCGAATTGGAATTAGGCACTCCACAAGGGGGAGGATGTCCCCAATACTGT